TGCGATTCAGCTGAAAGGGAAAGATACAAAACATTCGAGATGACTGGCAGAAGAAAACTCTAAAAATGCTCCAGCACAAAAGGGGATTAAAATGTCACAGGAAATTTTTTTCTTGGAGATGGAATGGCTTATGAATGCTTCATTCTCTGAGGAACAGTTAAAACACTGTATATGCGGGCTGCCTGGGTTCGGAAGGCAGGCCAGGCCTTCCCTTTTGTTCTGCTGCTCGCCCCTAGCTGGTTTTCCCTGCCGAACTTGGGCCCACGAGCAGTGAGTGAGAAGATCCGAGCGGAAGACGCTTCATCTCAGTGGATCATCTGGATTGGGTTTATCCTCCGCATTCGAAATGAAGAGACCGCCACAAACTGGGAAGCGACAGAGAATGAGCAGAGACGGCCAAGCATGTTGCTGGCGATAACATTTGTCTGACGTTTTAACGATCATCTGTTACCTGAAGACTCGTTTGCCCAAAGCCAGCTCTTGCACTGACACGCAATGCCCAGGGATGAATGGGTCTGAAAGGCTGACTCACAGCCAGACATTCTGTGTAGGGCGGCATTAATCAGGGGTCAAGAGGGAGCAGGGCCCCATCTGCCTGGGGCCAGCCTTTGCCAGCTGCCCTCACGCTCTCTCTGCAGTCACCAGAGAGCGTGGGGCCCAGCATGACCGCAGCACCCCGCCGCACCTGCAGTTTTGGGGTGGGGGAATCTCCCGGGATAATCAGCATTTCTTTCCTGACAATCCGCAGATGATCCAAACTTCCTGGGGTTTAGATTACCTTCCTACTGAGCATGTCTGCAAGATGAGAAAACAGTTATCTCCAAAAGGACAAGTAACTAGCTCTTTGCCTGCCATTGCAAGATGAGGTCCCAATGCCCGCCCACAACGCACACTCGCGCACGCAGGCGCCCTGTGCCCCAGGAGTGCAGGTGTTATTTACAAGTCTCGGTCCGGGAGGTGAGAGCCCAGTCCCCACCCACACCTTAGCTCATAATCTGAACTGCGCCAGTGTGAGCACCGCACCTGTCTCCCTAAAAGTGAAGGAAGCGTGGGAGCAGCGCGGCGTCCGCCAGGGTGACCCACGCTCATTACGGTGGGTGTGGTGGACAGCACTGTGCCCCGGACACGGATCAAGCGAGGAAACGCACTTTCCCCTCAGAGTCCCCGCTCTCTAGGCAGGTGGTGGGGCTCCCTGAAGGACCAAAGGGAAACAGGACCTCACGACGGCGTCCGCGTTCTGGCTGCATGGCTTGCCAGCCGTGGAATCCTTCGCAAGCCGTCCGGCTGCCCCGAGCCCGTTCCCTCACTTTTAAAGGGGGATTATAAAACTCCCTGTACAGCAGGGCTTCCTAACAGTGGCCATATTGACATTCGGGACCAGAAAAATCCTTTGATGGGGCAGGGGAGGGGCTGATTTGTGCTTTGTAGAACGTTTAGTGCATCCCTGGTCTCTACATACTGGAAGCTGGTGGCCCCCACCCCCAGCTGTGATGCTGTGATCGTCAAAAATATCTCCAGATACGGCCATTTGTCCCCTGGAGAGTAAAACTGCCCTGCTTGAGAACCAGTGCTGTAAAGGACACCCATCTTCAATTTCTTAATAAAATAGCACCCAGATACTTTGATTTTATCCCTAAGGTTGCAGGGTAACCATTAACAAATAGCTGTGAGTAAAATGACAGAACTCGGGAGTTTTCGTTTCTGGAAAACGGGGTTTGGGATAAAATTGAGCACCTCACTTGAAGATTCTCCTCCAGCCCTAAACCTTGGGAACGGGGTATTTTGTTCTCCTCCTGGGCAAAGAGTAGTAATGAGACCATAGGCTCCTGTGCCCAGGGCTATGGAGCTTAAACAAGATAATGTATGTGCGGCGATGCCTAGAACTATTCATCAAATCGTGACCAAAGAATCAGTGTGATGCCGCGTACACTGGAATGTCGCCGTGGCCCTCTGTTCACACCGTGTGATGATTACAGCAGACAGGTGAATCAGTCACACACCAGCAAGAATGGCAAAAAACCCAGAACTATCAAATGTGTTAAACACATCTTGCCACTGCTATAAAATACATCTGTGAAGTCTTTGACCCTCTTCTCATCCAGTGGCGGCTCAGTGTCCCTTCCATTGAACCTGGGCAGGCCTTTATGACTGTGCTGACCAACGAAATAAAGCCAAGTGACTCTGCAGCTGTCAAGTCTAGTCATAAAAAAAGTGTGCACTTGTCCCTTGCTCACTCTGGGAAGGAGTCCCTTGGAAGGCTATGAGGAAGCCTAAGCAGCCACATGGAGAGGACAAGTGTAGATGTTCCAGTTGGCAGCCTCTACTGAGGTCCCACCTGTCAGGTGGCATCAACTGCCAGTCTTGAGTGTGAATGACGCTTTGGCTGATTCCAGGGCCCAGTCACTGAGTCATCCCCAGCCTTCAAGTTTTTCCAGATGAAGTCATAGTCATCATGGAGCAGAGATAGGCCATCTCACTGTGTCTTCTCCAAATTCCTGATCCATAGGACCCATGAGCATAATAATGATTGTTGAATGCCATTACATTTGGGGCGGTTTGTCACACAGCAACAGTAACCGAAGGTACTTCCATGAAGTTTGACCATCGCTGCTCAAAGAATGTGTTCCGTGGAGAACTTGGGTCTTGTAGGATTAGCTCAGCTGGAGGGTCCATCAGAAACAGTCAGGGAATGGGTCCGCCAGTGGGCATGGTGGGGAGCTCAAGGTCCCGCATTTCGCCCGTGCTCTCTAAAAGTCTTGATACACAGGAGATGCAAAGGGTGTGATTTCCTTCATACCACCCATGTACAGAGCGGCTTGACCAGCAGGAAACGGAAAGTTCATTTATATATCAATGCTAGACAAGAACACTAAGTGTGAGCCCTGGAAGAACACTCCCTTGGGAAGCTGTAAACCTTTGAGAGCCGGTTACTGGGTCAGGAGCAGCCTGTCCTAGAGAGCCACCTGGCATCAGCCCAGAGATTGGGCAGGGACCTCTAGTTTTGACTTGTTGGGAGAGGTCAGGGGAATAAGTGTAACTATGACCTGTCATAAAGAGATGCTTCGCTTGACTCATCAGGGCCTTTTTCCCATCTCGATCTGTAGAGATAGCCATCTCCATGAAGAAAGGTAAAAGAGGGCTAGACTTAAGGGAAATGGTGAGAAGTCACTTTCTAAACAGCAATCGAGAAATAAGAGTGTGTTGAAAAAACAGTAGGATGTAGGCAGGGATGCTCAAGGGCAGTGGTCCCCAGCCTTTTTGGCACCAGGGACCGGGGCTCCTGTAGATTCTAACGCCTGAGGATCTGAGGCGGAGCTGAGGTGGTGATGCCAGTGCTGGGGAGCGGCTGCAAATACAGATGAAGCTTCACTTGCCACTCACCTCCTGCTGTGCGGCCCAGTTCCTAACAAGCCATGCACGCATAGCGGTCCCAGCCTGGGAGTTGGGGACCCCTGCTCAAGAGCACAGTGAATAATTCACTACATTTGCACAACCTGGCTTCCTCCCCCTCAAAGCACACAAACTCTGTCCCCTGGAGGCCGTTCAGTTTTCTCATTTAATTGGGGTTTAGGCTGCAGCTAGATATAGAGTATAGAGTATGAACTTCAGTTCAGACATGAAGTAAAACTTTATATTAATAAGCCCTTATAAAATACTGCATGAATATTATTTATTCAATATCAGTGGGGCACCTGCCTGAGGCAAATATGTGTGATTTCATACTTCATAAAATATCTAAACATCCTTAAATTACTTCTGGAGGAGTTCACATTTGAAATTCTCTGTCTTGATGATATGACTGGCTGCTTAAGCGTTTGCTATAAACAAGGATGGGTCTCCTATGGGGACATTAATTATTGGGTTTCTCTACAAATTAATCTTGTAGTTTCAAACTATTTTAGCCAATTGGTCCAATTTAACCAGTGTTTTGGTTTATTCACATTTCTAAAATCGGGCACTAAATTACATATGTGTTTGGACATATTCAACTTTTAGAAAAGCTTTTTTTAAAAAGATGATATCATTCGAGCTAGTTGGTAACGTCTCAAGCTTTAAAATTAAAATCTTCCTTCCCACGCCCATGAAATTAATTTAATATTAGTATTTGATTTTATTTTTTTCCTCACCAATAAATTTTATTGGTGCCTACAGTGGAAGGAAAATGTGTGTAGTTGCATCAGGCAATTTAATGTCAATCCGGCAAAAATTCTGTTGTAGGAGGACCCAGGCTTTACCGAGTGAGAAGTACTGATAACACGAATCATGAGACAGGTGTTTCTGAGTAGAATGAAAATCTCTAGTAGAAGGAACAGTAACATCTTCAAATTAATGAATTCTTATCATAGTGGCGGAGGGGGGGCAGGGGAAGCACCAAGAGATAAATTAATAATCAGAAATATTAAACCTTTATAGAGTATAAATATTTTGCCATTCTGAAAAGTTATGGAGCTCAGTCCTATATCATCTCTTTATCACCAGAGTTAAAATCCTATCCTCCTCTCTCATGATAATTTTTGGGTAGTCCCTGTAACAGCAGTATCAACAACGACAAGGCCTTGAGCCGTGGAAGAACACAGAGCAGAGTCAGACGGCCCTGGGTTCAATTCCCGCCTCTGCTAGTTATTTGGGTTTCATTTGAACACGTGACTTTAACCCCTCCGGGCCTCGATCTCTTAACCTTTAAAATGGGATCACTGGTGGGACCGACTAGTGTGAGGACTGAGATCATCATTTATCACGTTCAGATGGGCCCTGGACGAAGTACGTGCAATGGATAT